TCACAGCACACTCACAGCACACTCACAGCACACTCACTCACAGCACACTCACAGCACACTCACAGCACACTCACAGCACGCTCACAGCACACTCACAGCACACTCATAGCACACTCACAGCACACTCACAGCACACTCACAGCGCACTCACAGCACACTCACAGAACACTCACATCACACTCACAGCACACTCACAGCACACTCACAGCACACTCACAGCACACTCACAGCACATTCACAGCACAATCACAGCACACTCACTCACAGCACACTCACAGCACACTCACAGCACACTCACAGCACACTCACAGCACACTCACAGCACACTCACTCACAGCACACTCACAGCACACTCACAGCACACGCACAGGGCTGTGATCACGGGAACATCTCAAACATTGAGATGCATTCATACTTAGTCGAATCAGAACTTACCCGCATCTTGTCAGCACAACCACATCCTTGCCATTGTGCAAGGCTTTAAACTCCGGGGCACTCCGGAAATTGCCCTTCAAATTCCCCAGGTACCGTGTGCCTCTGAAGGTCAGGAAATATTTCCGGGCAGATCCGGCAGGCAGGTTCCGCAGCTCAACGGGCGGGTTTTTCCACATTTGAGGCAGCGGGATGGAAGTGTCGAAATCCGTTCTCATAAGCGTTGCCTGTGCGTTGGTTACCATAACCATTGCTGAGGCAACCCCAAATGGGGATGGGCCACTCCAGGAGTCTGAGAAGCTGTATGAGGAAATTTGAGGAAAGGGAGTTAAGGGAAGAAGGAGAGGAAAGGGGGGCAAGGCGGGAGAGACAATTCCAGGGGGGTGACAGGAAGAAAGCGGTTGTCCACCAGAAATCAGGGACCTAGATGATGTTAGACTTTTATTTATCCTACACACCATGTGTAAGCACCTAGTGATCGGACATCATAAGCACATATAAAAGGACACAACTGAACAGCAGTGTAAGCACACCTTATAAACATACACCTTATAGGCACACACACACCTTATAGTCACATGTTTGGCTGCGACTCGCCCCAGTGCTTCAGTTCCGAAAACTCATCTAGATGCTTCCTCACCACATGCCCAACAAAGACACACGCCGCTGTGCCATTTGGTTCTGTATCGTACACTTACATGCACTCAAGCATCTGCTTTCGTAACCACACACCTTATAAGCACGCAGCTTATAAGCACGCACCTTATAAGCACATGGTTGGCTCCAGTCTCGCCCCAGTGCTCCAGATCTGCAAACTCGTTCGGGTGCCCCCTCGCCACGTGCACAAAGAAGAAACATGCCTTGGCGGGGTCGTCCGTGTACCACTTGGTCTTATTGAAGTCTTTAAAGTAGTGCTGCCCGGGCCAGTAGGAGTAGACTAGGGGTTCTTGAGAGGGGGAAGTGGGGCAGCGCGAGTAGTTGAAGCACGCATCCATGGAGCAGAGAGGGAAGACGCCCATTGAATGAAAGTAACGGCCGCTGGCGTGCCACAAGCTATGCTGCAGTGAAGACACAGGGGGCACAGGGAACACGGGGGCACAGGGCAGCGTTGGGCAGCGCGAGTAGTTGAAGCACACATCCATGGAGCAGAGAGGAAAGACGCCCATAGTGTGGAAATAGCGACCACTGGCGTGCCACAGGCTGTGCTGCAGTGAAGGGAGAAATTAGGGGTTTACGGAAGAGCAGCAGCAAGAATAGTTCACAGAGACGTCAGGAAGGGGAGAGGTGAGGAGAAGAAACGATTTGAAAAAGGTGAGAGACAGTGAAAAGGAGTGGATGGAAACTGCATGGGTGATGGAATTGTGGAAGAAATTCGTTGCAACGGGGATGGGAAAGGGGTGGTGCAGAAGGAGGCCTTGAATGCCATCATAGTGGTTCCACACCGCAAGCATTGCGCGCCTGACTTACGAGCCTGACTTACGAGCCTGACTTACGAGCCTGACTTACGAGCCTGACTTATGAGCCTGACTTACGAGCCTGACTTACAAGCCTGACTTACAAGCCTGACTTATGAGCCTGACTTAGGAGCCTTACTTACGAGCCTAACTTCCGTGCCTGACTTATGACCCTGACTTACGAGCCTGACTTACGAGCCTGACTTCCGTGCCTGATTTACGAGCCTAACTTACGAACGAGCCTGACTTACAAGCCGGACATCCGTGCCTGAGTTACGAGCCTGACTTACTAGGCTGACTGAAGAGCGTGACTGTCAAGACTTCTCAAAAGCCAGTTGCCATGATCGCAGTTTCAGAGGGGGCACATATCGCGCATATGTCTCGAGCCACGGGGCAAACTCAACTTGACACCATGACAGACTGAGCCCGCTAACTTTTCTAGACTGCATTGCCCACTCTATTGGGCTTTGATCGACTCATGAGATACCTTGAGAATGGTCTCAGATGGGGGGCACTTCGCTGCTGCTCCAGAGGACAGATTCTCATCCGCCTCCTCTTGCTCCCCTGGCCCTGTTGCTCCTCCCGCTCCTCCTTCTCCCCCTGCCCCTTCCCCTTCGCCTGCTGCCCCTGTCTGCCCTCCGTTGACCTGCTGTTGACCCCGTTGACTAGATTGACTCGCGCTCAGGTTGCCTGTTACCCCCTCTTCCTGCTCCTGCTGCAGCTGCCGCTGGTGCTGGGGGAAGGGGATACGGGGAGGCATTGGGGGGGGAGAGGGAGGTGAGAATGGGGGGGAAGAGTGGGTGAGCCAGCCTGTATCTTCTGGCTTCTCTACTCGCGCTCAGGTTGCCTGTGAGCGCCAGCTGCTGCTCCTGCTGCAGCCGCCGCTGGTGCTGGGGGAGGGAGACATGGGGAGGGAGGAGCAGGGGAGGGCATGGATGACGTGAGCATGGGTGCATCGGAGGAGGGGAAAGGGGGGACATTAGGAGGCATTGAGGGAGGGGAATGGGGAGGCAATGGGGCAGGGGAATGGGGAGGCAATGGGGCAGGGGAATGGGGAGGCAATGGGGCAGGGGAATGGGGAGGCAATGGGGCAGGGGAATGGGGAGGCAATGGGGCAGGGGAATGGGGAGGCAATGGGGCAGGGGAATGGGGAGGCAATGGGGCAGGGGAATGGGGAGGCAATGGGGCAGGGGAATGGGGAGGCAATGGGGCAGGGGAATGGGGAGGCAATGGGGCAGGGGAATGGGGAGGCAATGGGGCAGGGGAATGGGGAGGCAATGGGGCAGGGGAATGGGGAGGCAATGGGGCAGGGGAATGGGGAGGCAATGGGGCAGGGGAATGGGGAGGCAATGGGGCAGGGGAATGGGAGGCAATGGGGCAGGGGAATGGGGAGGCAATGGGGCAGGGGAATGGGGAGGCAATGGGGCAGGGGAATGGGGAGGCAATGGGGCAGGGGAATGGGGAGGCAATGGGGCAGGGGAATGGGGAGGCAATGGGGCAGGGGAATGGGGAGGCAATGGGGCAGGGGAATGGGGAGGCAATGGGGCAGGGGAATGGGGAGGCAATGGGGCAGGGGAATGGGGAGGCAATGGGGCAGGGGAATGGGGAGGCAATGGGGCAGGGGAATGGGGAGGCAATGGGGCAGGGGAATGGGGAGGCAATGGGGGGGGAATGGGGAGGCAATGGCGGGGAATGGGGAAGCAATGGCGGGGAATGGGGAGGGAAACGGGGAGAAAGAGCCGGCAGCAGACGCGACGAGCAGAGCCATCGCACAGGTGAAGCATTACCGTGAGGTTCGGGACCTCCTTACCTTGGTTTCGTCGATGGAGCGGGACGACGCGGGGCAGAAGGCGAAGAAGGAGCCGGCGGCGGACGCCACGAGCAGCAGTGACACGGTGAACAGCACCACCACGCGATTCGCGCCGAACGCGCCACTGCTGCCGCCGCCTCGCGCGCTGATCGGCACCGCGCGACTCATGCGGGGCTATCGTTTCACGTGGGTCCAGATGCTTGCTGATGGTTTTGCGCCGTGGGCCTTGCGCCTTGGGCCTTGCGCCTTGGGCCTTGCGCCTTGGGCCTTGAGGGCTATCGTTTCACGTGGGCACAGATGCTTGCTGATGGGCCTTGCGCTTCTATGTCTGGCTATCGTTCCACGGGATACAGATGTGTGGATGCGCGTGCTACAAATGCGTGTGCCACAAACGCGTGAGCTACAGTGATTGCTGCAGACAGACGCTACAAAAGAAGTTTGTTTCCAATGCAAGTGCTTTTCGTGCGGGCGACGCGTCAGGCCTGGAAGAGGGTAATTCAAACCGAGCCTAATCGAATCCGGACCTATTCCATCTCAGCGAAAGATCGCTGTAAACGAATACAATAACTATGCCTATGGGTCGCTGCGCTGGACCTTGCTTGCCGCTCTCCCAAGTTGTCGATTATTGGGACGGCTGCACGCACCTTGTCGCCGTTGTACCTCAGGACGAATGATATGCACCTCAGGAGGAAGGTGAGCCCAGCCTAAATCTGGCGGTATTTTCCTGTATGATGTGCTTCGGGCTTTGTATAGTCTATCTAAACTCGCAGTTTAAACCAACATGGCAGTGATATCCACCTTGTTTTATACGGCAAAACCATCCCTTCTTCCGAATTTGCCAGTCTCCTTTCATCCTCATGAGTAATGAAAATGTCCCCAAACTTTGTTCCTTGATACGCACGGATAGAAATAAATTCAATGCTAAAAAATGAGGACACATTCATTTTCCCACAACATAGGCTAAGTACGTTAATTTAAATGGGAAACAAAATCATACCTGTTAGGTTAGGCTAGAAATAATAGTGAAACATGAATACTTTCGCTGGAACACTCGAATTTGCTCATCTGAAAAGCAAGCCGCGAAATTATTGGACACCTCGAGCACGCAGAGGCAGCACGGATAATTGTGAGCGTGGAGGGACAGCGACGTCGGCATTCGCGACTCGCTCGCTCCTTTTCCTGGTCAGCTGGTTCGTCAGTGTGCGACATTGGAAACAGCCTCTGCCAATCTTGCTGGCTAACCTGCTACTTCTGGATAAATAGCGGTCTGATTGCATATCAGGAGCATCGCCTTCTCGCTCAATCAGTGACTCCCCTTATCTCAGCTTGAACCACATTTCTGGCTAAAGTGAGCTGGCAAGCTAGATTCGATCCCCGCATTTTGCGAACGCGCCGGCATTAACTCTAGGCAGACATCCGCCTTCGTTCCCGCCTCTATCAGCTGACCCTGTCCTTCGAGAACGCTCAGCACTGCGAGGTCGTCAGATTGCAGACGTCACCATGGCGAGTTCCCTCAACGCCGCATTCCTTCTTCTTGTTCTCTCGCTCGCGCTCATTTGCATCTCACTGCTCCCCCTCGCATCCGCCGGTCCGCTCAGGCGCGTCGCGCGCACGCGACCGGCGCACGACGCCTACCGCCGCCAGCGCCGGCTGACCGACGCTATCGACCGCGGCTCGCGCCCGCCGCTGCACATGTTCGAGACGAAGGCGCACTTCGAGGAAGAAAAACGAGAAAAGGGCGATGCGGGCGCCAACGGCGGCGACGGCTCGTCCTCCGCGCCGATCAAATACTTGGGCGGCCCCGTGATGACCGGGAGCGTGAACGTGTACTTAATCTACTATGGCAACTGGCCGGAAGGATCGGGGCAAGATGTGATTGAGAACTTCGTTAACTCACTGGGTGCAGGCTCGGACCAGCAGGGGGATCCGGCAGAGCCCACAGTGGATCGCTGGTGGGCGATCAACGCGGCGTATTACCAGGATGGGGAAGGCGGGAGGGAGAACGTCGGCAGCGAGGTATGCCCGGTTGTAAGGACTTTTGAGCTACCTGGACGGTAAGTACGCGGGCTTTAGGCGCGGTTTTGAGCTAATCACGCTGCCAGCCTGATGCTCCATGGATTGGGTTTGCAAGCTGCTGGCGTATTTTCTGAGTCGGCTGTTATTACCTTGTCAATAAACGCACGCCGCCTTTCTTGTTTCATGTAATCATTGGCAGGTGCAAGTAGCCGGGACTGCCTACGATGACTACTCGGCTGGGACGAATTTTGGCGAAAACACGGTTTGGGAAGGTAAGCAGGCTAGTGTTCAATATATTTTGCAACATAATATTGCCTTCTCTGGTAATATAAAATCTTATCTGAAGCTTGACGGTCTCGTTTTCCACTCTAAAAGAATAACAAATGCCGGACTCCTGCCCTTCTATCACAGTTGTTTCAAGCTGGATTGGCGACGGGCAGGCTTTTCCGTACGACCCGCAGGGCCTTTACATGCTGCTTACGAGCCCGGATGTGACAGTCCCTGGCTACTGCAGCGAGTACTGCGGATGGCACACCATGGACTACATGGGATCCGACGCGGTTATATACTCGTTTGTGGGTCACCACGGGCAGTGCGCGGAGGGTTGCGGGGCGCAGAGTGCGTCGCCCAACGAGGACCCTGCGATCGATGCGACGGTTTCCACCATCGCTCACGAAATCGCAGAGGCAGCCAGCGACCCTGACGCGAGTTCAGGCTGGCTCGACGACCAACGGGAGGAGAATGCAGACAAGTGCTCTTACGGTGTTGGAGCGACGCTCACGGATAGCGACAGCAGTGGTAACACGTACGAGTACAATCTCGTGGGGATGAACGGCATACGATTCTTGGTGCAGCAGAACTGGGACTGGGAGAACAACATGTGCGTGTCTCAGGGAAACTGAGGTGACGGTCCGGCACAAAATAGAGTGTTAGCAGTAGTATTACAAATAAATTAAAATAAAGCGCTCTCAGGATGTAATCTGAGAGTGACATGTCGGGTTTCGAGAGATTTGTGTTCACTTTTCCGAATACATCTTGCCCTACTACTAGCGTCTGCTAATTATGTACTCTTGGATCCCGTGAATCATGATGCTGTTGCTAATCTACATCAGGGCTTACTTTTGGTTTTTAGTCCTCGGGCTTCTTAAAAGTTTACCCTTAATGTTCAGGGTCCAGCAAAAGGCAACCCTGAATCATTAGGGTTCGTTTGCACAGTACCCTTTCACCCGCCACGGTTAGAATCTACCAGGAGATGTATGGACAAGACGAAAAGGGCGTGAGTAACGTGCACGGGGCTGTGAGGGGAGAATGACGAAAATCCAATAAGTGAGTTGTCTCCCCTCTATTTGTGACAACGAGGTGTGAGAAACGTGCTGTGAGGGGAGAAGAACAAAAATCTACTAAGGGAGTTGTCTCCCCTCTGTTGGTGACTACGAGGTGTGAGTAATGTGCTGTGAGGGGAGAAGAACGAAAATATATTAAGGGAGTTGTCACCCCTCTGTTGGTGACTACACTTGTGAGTAACGTGCTGTGAGTGGAGAAGGTCGAAAACTTTCTAAGGGAGTTATCTCCCCTCAGTCAGTTGGTGTGAGTGCGTGCTGTGAGGGGAGAACAACGAAAATCTTCTAAGGGAGTTGTTCCTCTTAAGGAGATCCCCCCTGTAGCCCTATCAGCACTAATAGTACACTCAGGGTAGGAAACCAATATACCCTTAATCTCGAGAGATATACTTTGCACAAATCCTTAAGCTTCCGGGTTCATAAAAATCCAGCCCTTAATTTGTGGGGCCAGCTGACAAACTACCTTTTATTTGACTCAAATTCAGGGCAACATCGCTTGAAAAATAGGCCCTGAACTACATGCATTCTGTCGCGTCGTTGAATTTTTACCGATGGTCGAATCGAACGACTCTCACAGTCTGGAGCGGACACAGGTGTGTAAGTCGGTTGTAAAAGTTGATCCTAAGACCCATCCACTACCGAAGTGAACCCGCTCTTCAGATTAGGACGCGCTACATTGCGTCCGTTTAGGAGGATCGCGTGAAAAGCATTCATTGCCTGTTATTTTAGGATATAGATTCTGACTCACTACAAACGATCTTCAATATCGACTACGTACGCGATATAGCCATGTTCCAGATTTGCAGCTTGCGATCTCGAGTATCGTTTTGCAGCTGGCCAGCAGGGCATTTCGCAGAGCATTTCGCCCAAACCCAGCAACCCTTCCTGGACATTCGCAAATGCGGCTCGAGATTAGAGGATTTGCATTGTCAGATTTTTTCGCAATGGCGAGTTGACGAAGCGCTTTTGGTTTCGTGGCTTTTGGGGGTACGGCGATCTGGGACTTTGACGAGGAGGATCGTTTGTATTTCGCACGTGCGATTGATTCCCGGTTTTGTTTCGAAATGATCCTGCCCAACGATCTGCTCAGGGCTGACGTTTCAAAAAAAGGCACTCTGATTTTACCCCCCAAAAAAAATCTCAAGTCTGAAGGGCCATTTTTCAAAATTTCCCTAGTCGGAAATCTCAGTATCCAAAAGTCGACTAGTCTGAAGTTCTCAGGATTCAGAATGTCCATTCTATTATACAGTGAAATTGATGAATAGAGAGAGAGAGAGAGTACACAAACATATACCTAACTGTTGTACTCTCTAGAAGATGACCCTATACAGTCTATACAAGCATGATAACTAAACATGTTTGACACACCCCCTGGACTGCATAGGGGAATGGTCTAGACAAGCAGCTCAGGGTGGCACTACTAGTCCAGCCTCTGAGACAAGGGACTAAAAGACCAGTCAGAAGGAGTACAGGCAAGGCAAGAACCAGTACAGGGCGGCACTACTAGTCCAACCACTGTAAGAGGACACAAGTCCAGTCTGAGTGTACATACAGATATATAGGACAGTACAAAGTCAAGGCCCGAGTAAGTGAGAGACTACAGGAACCAGACCAAGCTGTACACAGTGCCGCTGATGATCTTTAGGCGCAAGCGCCTTCGTAAAGATATCAGCTGTGTTGGCACCGGAGGCTAAGTGTACTACGCGAGCCTGGCGACGCTGCTGTAGCTCACGCAGGAGGAAGTACCGCAGCTGGATGTGCTTCGCTCTGCCCTCGAGTCGAGGCTCTTGACACAGGAGGATCATGGCCCTGTTGTCAGCGTACAGGACCGGGGCAGAGCTAGGCCGCTCACCTAAGTCAGTGAGCAAGAAGGTCAGCCAGCGGAGCTCCTGTGCCGCCATGGCACCGGCGTAGATCTCAGCCTCACAGCTGGACTGGGCAACAGACGAAGAGCGGGTAGCTCTTCACGAGACAGCACCTGAACCAAGGCTAAAGCAGTAGCCCTGGGAAGACCTGAGCGTCTCGACGTCGTCTGCCCAAGAAGCGTCTGTGTGTCCAGTAAGGACCACTGGCCTGCGTCCGCCTAGCACTAACCCCATGCCCGATGTACTTGCAAGATAACGCAAAACCCTCTTAGCGGCAGACCAGTGCTGAGGTCGGTGCCTGCCTGTGGCCACGAAACGAGCCAGGATGCTGAGAGGGTATGCGAGATCTGGGCGAGTGCAAGTCATCAGGTACATGAGGCAACCCACTAGCTCAGCGTAAGGACCACTGGGATCTACCGACTCCTCAGGAACTGGAGCGGAGAGTCTGTGGTCCAGAGGAAGAGGGGTGGGCTGTGCGGAGGAGAACTGAAGGCCGAACCTCTGAAGGACCTGGCGCACCAAGTGTGACTGAGTCAGGGTGATGGTGCGTGCGGCTCTGTCCCTGGAGATCTGCAAGCCAAGGTAACGGCGCAGCTCTCCAAGGTCAGTGCAGGTGTGTCTCTTCAGCAGCTCTGCCTTCACGGAGGCCAGTGCGTCCCTGTCAGCAGTGGCAAAGACCAGGTCGTCTACGTAGACGAGGATGTAGAACGGAGTCGAGCCAGCACGAACGAAGAGCGAGGGGTCTGCAGAGGACGGAAAGAACTGCAGGTCAGCAAGGGTAGCACGCAAAGTGTCGTGCCACTCACGAGGCGCCTGGCGCAGGCCGTAGACTGGCCGCCGCAGAAGCCACTGGGTCCCAGGGGGGAAGGTGCCAGTAAAGCCCTGAGGGCGACGCAGGTAGACCTGCTCGTGAAGGCTGCCCTGAAGAAAGGCAGTGGAGAAGTCGAGGGAGTGAAGCTCGTAGTCACGCTGAGCAGCTAGGTGTAACAGAACCCGAAGAGTAGTCATCTTCGGGGTAGGAGCGAAAGTCTGAAAGAAGTCCACCCCCTCGCGCTGACTGAAGCCTCTAGCCACGTAGCGCGCCTTGAACACAGGCGGCTCTCCAGGAGGGCGCTTCACCTTGAAGAGCCAACGGCCATCGACTACGTTCACCCCAGGTGGGGGAACTGCGTCGACGAAGGTGCCGGTGGATCTCCAAGATGCCATCTCCTGCTCCATGGCAGCTATCCACTGAGAGGCCCAGGGTCCCGAAACCGCCTCTGCGTAAGTACGAGGGGTCGGGATGTCGAAAGCGTCTGGGTCACCCTCAGGGACTAGCAGCATGGAACAGAGATGGGGAGCAGCCTCGGACAGGAAAGCAAGCTCAAACTGGCGGTCCTCCAGGACGTCACTGCCGAGGGCAGGAGCACCCCCGACAGACGGAGGACAGGCAGGGTCAGAGACCAGAGCGGTGGCGTAGTCAAGGCGGCGGGTAGAGGCGAAGTCAGCGACCGCAGCGACGAGGGCGTCGAGACTCGACACTGGAACAGACGGGTCGGTAACGAGAGAGGCAAGGACCCGAGGAACAAGAGGACGAGCGGCACGAAAGGAGTCGGACAGAGGAGGAGACGCAACGACAAGAGAGGACGGAGGAGGAGACGGGAGGAGGGGAGGACGAGACGCGTGGGAACGGAGCAACATAGGGTGAGAGCGCGGGACAGGGGAGACAGGACGAGCACGAGAGGGGCGGCGAGACCAGACGTGTGAGGGCGGCGTCGGGTCAGGAGACAGAGGAGGGGACACAGGAGGGGAACGAGGGGGAAGACGAGCCGGGGACGAGTCTGGCAGAGGGAACACGGGGCCGTAGACGGGAAGAGGGGGAGACGGCAGGAGAGGAACAGGCGCAGGGTCAGGAGACGGAAGGCCGAGCAGACGGAGGGCGGACACAGGCGGGGACTGCTGCTGCGGCGACACAACACCAACACCAGGGCCACAAGCTGCGCGACGGCTACCTCCCGAACCCTCCACACCTGCACCCCCAGAAGGGACACCCCCAGAGCCCGAAACCCCGCCAGCACCGGTACCACCCCCAGGTCCGCCGGGACAAGCCACGACAGGAGCCCCGGGACTAGTACCCACCTCAACGCCAGGACCCCCAGAGTCCACAAACGGCGGCAGCGACGACAGCGGCGGCGGCGGCGGCGGCTGCAGCGACGGCTGCGACGGCGGCGGCGGCGGAGACGACGGCTGCAACGGCGGCGGCGGTGGGGACGACGGCTGCAGCAGCTGCGGCGACGGCGGCTGCGGAGGCGGTGGAGGAGGAGACACTGGGGGAGGGACAGACGGCGAGGACTGCGCCGGAGGACTACCAGAGTCAGAAGACTCGTCGACCGGGACGACGGACGGGAGGGGGGTGACGTGAGACACACCAGAGGGGGCCGGACGGGGGGGAGGGGCAGGGACCACCAGGGAGGGAGGAACCAGGAACAGGGGGGGAGTAACCGGGGGACCACGGTGGGGAAAGCGGCGGTAGAAGGAGACGGACTCGTCAAAGGTGACGTCGCGAGAGTGAAAGAAGCGGTGAGACGGCGGGTGGTAGAAGTGCCAGTCGGACGCGTCAAGGGGGAAACCGAGGAAGACGCAGGGGAGGGTGCGGGCAGTGAGCTTGTCCGTGCCAGAGGCACGAACGTGAGCAAGGCAGCCCCAGACGCGGAACGCAGACGCGTCACCAGGGGACCCGGTCCACAGAAGGGTCGGCTACCCGAACCAGCGGCCGCAGAGGGTGCGGCCAAAGGTTAAGCTGGTGAGCGGCGTAGCGCACGGCGAACGGCCACAGAAAATGGGGTGCACCGGCGTGGATCATGGAGGTGCGAGCCACCTCCATGACCAAACCGATGCGTCGCTCAGCGACCCCATTTT